GCGGTGATCGATAAGTTAGAAGCATAAGACAATCTTGAGTATTATGAATTGGTAGTGGATATCTGGGTGAAACTTTTTAATATTGTATAGAAGGCGTCGTATCAACTTGATCAAGCAACGAATGCAATTCTATTTCCAATGAATAGGATGAGCCTTCATTTCCTTAAGGAGATTTACCAGAGAACTGATACTGGCTTCGCGGAATAGACTTAAATCACGCTGACGCTGTAGCTTGTAACGCTCAGCTTGGCGTTGGTGCCCTTGAAAGCCTGCGTGCCAGCCCGCAGCACCTGCAAGTACTGATTTCCAGGGATCGTATTGTCGGACGTAAGTTCAGTGAAGAACAGCTTGAGGTCGCCCTTAAAGCTCGTAACCGGCTGCTTAGCGACATACGAGAACGCATTGATGTTTTGGTTGAACCCGAAGTACAAGTCAAAGTCGACGCCGGCAACGTTCACGGTCTTGATAGGCTGACCAGTGGTTGACTTAGGCTTCATATCGCCATAAGTTGCCAGCCACACCGTGAGCTCGTAATGAGGGTGTCCAGCAGGCGTCCAACTCGTAAACATGTCGTAGGCCACGTTCGAGACCATGTCACCATCGGACGTGTAGTTGAAGTCGAAGCTGGTAGGGATCGTCACGATCGAGGAGATCTGGTAACGCTGAAGGTCGCGTTCAGCGTAAGCAAAAGACTTGTACATGGGGTCGCTGTCACCGGTAATGTTGTAGCTCGTGTGCCAGGCGATAGTCGTGGTTTCACTCCAATCCACACCCGTGCATTGCTTGCCGGCAACGGCCCAGTTGCTGTTTACGATCTTGTACGCTCCGACTTCAACTTTGCCGTTCTCTTTGTCGGTACTACCACAGAAGTCCTCCGCGTGGGCAGTCGCTGCAGCAAGAGCGATGGTGGCTGGTAGCAGGAACTTCATCGCTGTAATGATCGAACTTGGGGTTAAGAGGGTGGATTGCCGAATGAATCTGGACATGGCAAAGAACCAATCTCACCCAGTGCCAAGTCCCATCCTAAAAGGCTTCATCCGGACGTTTTGCTGCTGATGTCGCAGTTTGGAATCGCCAAATCTGGGTTGTCGAATTACAGTATCGCTTTTACTTCGCGATCAGTCGCAGTGACAATTCAAGCAAAGAACTGCATCTGCAAGTAATCTACCTCGACTCGGACGTACATGTATCAGACATTATACTTATCACTACCTCGAAGTATTTGTGTTTGGTTCGCAGTAGAGCTCGAAAGGTTGATCTGCATGCCTAATCCATGTTGTTATCACATGATGCCGTGCAAAATAGCGTAGCGGATCGTCTAATTAATCTGCAAAGAGTCACGACATCAGGTTGAGAGCAACACAATCGGTTGTTGTGTTGCTACGTAATTTATCTACGTTTTCTTTAGTGTGAAAATTTCCGACTAAATTGAAAATTCGCAAGATCCAGTTTTCGCACTTAAGTACGATCCACCCCATATCATTTCCAGCCTCCCATTTTTGTATTTTAACCCCTTAGTTCCTTTATGTTGGATCTTCCAACATAAGGGGTGTATACCCTAAATTCACTTCTGTTGCACCTTTTATTTTATGTTGGAGGTCCAACATAAGCAAATCTTATACCTGAATTTTGTATGGGGCAACGGTCCATATCCCCCCTTTCCCCGCTATAGTGAAATGAAGTCATTGATATGAAGTGTAAAGCGGTTCACATGCCACAGGCTTAGGTTTAGTTTGGTTGGAATGAGTTAGAAAAGGGAGGTACACACCCACTATCGAGCGAAGTGGCCCACCAGCCACCCAAACTCCTCACTCTTCAAAACGACGGCCGATAGCAACATGGTTGCGCCGACACCCAAGACACCGCGTCACCACCTCACCGAGCAAGAAAGGCGCCTCTGTCGCGAGGCTCTGCTAAGTGAGCGTCACGAGCGCCGCATTCGACGGACAGAGCAGAAGAGCGGCAGCGATGGAGCATGGCAGACGAAGGCGAAGAAGGCGGCAAAGAAGAAGGCTGCCAAGCGCACAACGGCAGATATGGAGGTGGCGCAGTATAATGGTCTGTATATTCCTTCAGCAAGTGCTCAGGTTGCAGACACGGCGGGCGAAAAAGAGGGCTCGCGAAACCAGACGATTGCTGAAGCGAAAGAGACGATAGAGACAACCGCGATAGCGGATGCGATGGAGGTGGAAGCAGACCACGAGACGGAGGTGACAGAAGTCGTCGCGGATATGGTTTTCAGCGTTGAGACTGCGCTGCCTGCCCAACAGTCTGGTATCGCGTTAGCTACTACTGATTCCAGTGCTGAAAAACGAAAGCGTAGTACTCAAGTGCCGACAAGAGAGCATCGCCGCGCTCTCCTACAAGAAGACAGCGATGGCGACGATGACACGGTGCGTTTTGTTCGTTTATCCAACCTAGAAGGATTGTGGCTGACAACATGTCTAACATAATATCCAACGTACGTGATATATGGTGAACATAGAATGCAAGGTGACGAAGACGAGAGTGTTTACGAAGCAGACGTTGTGCACAGTGTACCTGCGTGTGTTATTGACACAGACCCTAACTTTATGGACGAAGGAGCTGACGAATGCACCGGACTCAACTCCGACGAGGACCCAGAGCTTCGTGAGGAACCTGAAGACGAAGAGGATGCTGATGACGATAGTTGGGACGGTGACTGGGACATTGGAGAGCTGACAGATGAAGATTCGGACCACGACATCGAGGAGCTTCCAAACACGGCGTGGTTATCCGCAGCGAAGAACGCACCACTGATAACTGCAATGCGTACCGATGGCTGGGAGTATGGTACGTTATGTTGGCCGAATCCAACATAATCCTTTCATTTTGTTTCTGAGTTAACATAAAGGCTAACATAGTTTTTGTCCTTGTGTGTTGTATCTAGACGCGACTAAATTTGGACCTGACCCAACGTATGCTGGGTTGTATGATGGGCCATACGGACCAAGTGACAGCGTGCTACGCGTTGGGGACGATCCGCTGGCATTGCTCTTCTTT